TCTTATCCGTGTATATATATATATATATATATATATCCGTGTGTGCGCGCGCCGCATACCCTGGCATATCGGTTGGCATCCGCGATATAAGACCCTCAGGTCAGGGGTTCGAATCTCCTCAGACACAGTTGGCCTTAAGGAGGTGGTACTCGAATTGTTAGGCACATTAGGGATGACTGGAGGCTCGTATAACAACCTCTTGTCATTCTTTTTTAATATATATGTTATTTATTTATTGCATGTAATTTTTTGTTTGATCGAGTTGCTTTTGACTGCAGGTAAATCCTGATTTGGTTATGAAGCTTGAAAGGTCTGGTCTTTCTTTTGTGGGCAAGGATGACAGTGGTAGAAGAATGGAGGTATGTTTGCACAATCTTCTATATTTTTTTTAAAGGAATAACTATATATGTATATATATATATATAGAGAGAGAGAGAGAGAGAGAGAGAGAGAGAGAGAGAGAGAGAGAGAGAGAGAGAGAGAGAGAGAGAGAGAGAGAGAGAGAGAGAGAGAGAGAGAGAGAGAGAGAGAGACCCACACACACACACACACACACACACATCTACCACACAATTCTTATTATATATATATATATAGACACACACACACACACATCTACCACACAATTCTTATATATTTGCATATCTGATACCTAAAGTTTATTATTTATATATATAACACTAGTGTCATAATCACATCAAAACTTATGCATGAAAAGGTGTTCTTCATTTTCTAAAGTGAGTAATAGTGTTATTTTTGGTATGATTTAAAGATTCGAGTGTTATGCATGTAAATGTTAAATTTTAGGTGCTAGTTGCTTGAATACCAAGAATTGTGTGGTATGTTTGTAAATCCTTCTTTTTATTGATATTACAAATGTTTACATTGTATCTGCAGATCGTTGAGCTGCCTACCCATCCTTATTACATTGGAGTCCAATTCCATCCAGAGTTCAAGTCAAGACCTAAAAAACCTTCTCCTCTTTTCTTAGGTAATACTTTCATCATTGTTATCATTAGCTTTAACTCAAGTATTTGAATCTAAGTGCATTTTCATACATTCTTATGTATTTGCATATCTAACCCTTGAACTTCCATATTTACATGCTTGGCACTGAAATATTTAATCACATAAAAATAAAATACACCTTTTCATGCTTTGTTTTATGACACAAAAATGTTATAAATGTAAATATAAAAGTTTAGGTGCTAGGTATGTAAATACATAAGTGTTTGGTATGTTTGTAAATTTCACTTGAGTTTTATGTTATTTTTTCCTTTTTAATGAAAGTTAGATTATGCCTAATCTATACTATGCTTATTTTAAATAAATCTATTTATTCAAATTTTTTCACTTTAAATGCAATAGAGCTTAAAAATTCATTAACAAAATATGATATTATGATTATCATTTTAAACCCTTAAAATATATTCCATGCAATTAAATAAATCTATACCTAATAGCTATTACTTCTATAGCACTCCAATTTCTCAACTATATTACCTCATGCCTTGCACAGAAGTTGTTCATAAGTTTTTATATAACAATGAATATTTACTTTTCCTCTATACTCTTTTTTTTTTTGAAAGATTTACATACATACCACTCAAATTTTCCTCTATACTCTTTTTTTTGAAAGATTTACATACATACCACTCAATTCTTATGCATTTACACGTCTAACACCTAAACCTCAATTTTTACATATATAGACCACCTTAAAAAGAGAAGCATAATACTAAGTTAAGTGTTGCCGAGATGAGAATGATTAGGTGGATGAGTGGCTTTACAATTAGAGATAAAATGCGAAATGAATATATAATGAATATATCAATGTATCTGCGAAAGGGTTGGTGTAGCGTCAGGGGTAGAGCAAAATTAGGCGAGTCGTCTTAGATGGTTTGGTCACATTAAACGTTGATCATCTGTGATCCGATTAGGAGAGTAGATGTTTTAGATTCGACTTATGTTATGATCTTAATTTATAAGAATTAAATGAAAATATGACACTAAATAGGACACTATGGAGAAAAAGGATTCATGTAGCCGACCCCATTTAGTGGGATTATGGCTTTGTTGTTGTTGTTGTTATTGACCGCCTTATCTATTATTAAAAAAGTGTATCTCACTTATTAAAAGTTCAAATAGCTTTGTTTTTTTTATGTAATATCAAAATGTTTGGGTTGTATAATTGTAAAAGGTAAAGCCTATTTGGTGAGAGTTTATTACTATGTACACAATGATAAAACCCAGGAACATGGCAGAAGCCTGTAAGGTCTTTATCAAAGAGACTAATTGGCACCCACAAGCTCCACTCATTTTGTTTGAATCTATCTTTTGGGTGATATTCATGCTCAAATTAACAAAAGTTGAACTAGTAAACTCACCTCGTGCACCTCATCTCAGGTCTAATAGCCGCCTCGTGTGGCCAACTGGATGTGTTGATGAAAATACGGGGTCGCGACAACGTGCTGCCTACAAAAATGGTCACGAGCAACGGCCCCTCCGTCACAAAAGTATACCAACACCTTTCAAATGGACCTTATTATGCAAATGGCAATGGAGTCCATGCTTAACTTTTTTTCCTTTAGCTGAGCAAAGCAGTGTGAGTTTTTGGGGTTTTCTTTAATTTGCTTGTTTTCAGAAGATTGGAAGCAGCTCAGTAGCATAACTACTAGGCTTGTAATAGGGAGTGGAGCTTGTTCCAGGTTTTTGAGGAGGAACAGCCTATGTATTTCATTTTATCTCAGGATGGATCATAAGGTTCTGAAAAATTGTTTTTTTTTGTTTTTGTTTTTACATTTGATTTGGATAGTTTTTGAAATGTTTGATCTGTAGATGGGTGGTAAAGTGTCAAATTCTAAGTTGTAGAGGTGGTGCTTGTAATGCATGCTTATTTGCTTCTTCTGTCTTTGGTCAAGAAATATTAAGTTTACATAATGGGTAAAATTTGTAACCATATGATTTGAAAATTTTGCTTTATATATATATAAAGTGTGTGTGTGTGTAATTGTCATGTATTTTAATATGTAAAGTGTGTGTGTGTGTGTAATTGTCATGTATTTTAATATGAAGGCCGTTTGACCTTTCATCTAGTGTCTTGAAATTTTCAATCATTCTTGAAGAGTTTGTTTTGTACTTATTTAAACTCGAATAAATCACTTTTGGTATTATTAGATTTATATTGTTAAGACGTTCAATCTGATTATAAATTTGATTGTATACTCAAAAATGATTTGCACGGATCTCGAGACGATGCTATGGTTGGAATAAGATAGACTAAAATGTCATTTGCTTTTCTTTTTAAGATAATGTTAAATATGTAATTTTTATATTTTTTGTCTCTTCTATCTATCTTCTATAAAAGGAGGGTTATATGTTGTATGAGGGACTCTTTTAGCTCTCATCTCTTTGTATTATATTTTGTTTGTGGAATAAAATGGGTCATCACCCCCGGGAACACTCCTTTAAAGTTTTCCCCTCCCTCCCTCCCTCCCTCCCTCCCTCGCTCTCTCTCTCTCTCTCTCTCTCTCCTTTCCTCCTCCTCCTCCCCCTCGCCCTCCTCTATCAATCATCTTTCTTCAGTCCAACGCTTTATTTCTTGGGTGCGGTCTACCAAACAAATTTAGATTCAACATTGATAAAATTATTGTTAAATTTTTTCAACTCCAAAACTAAATGATAATCTGTATTCAGCAGTATTTGACTAAAAAATTTTTTTGATAATTAAACAAAAAATAATACAAGAGATCAATATTAAAAAGGAGATAAGTGTCAAAATGGTTCCTTGAATTTTTTTCTCCTCAGTCATTTTAATCAAGGAGTATATAAAAGTATCAATTTAATCTAAAAATCCTCCCTAGGGATCATCATCCCATATTAAATGATTGTGTAAGTTAATTTGATAATTTTATAAACTCAGATTAAAACGAATCATATAAATCGTCTTGATATTATCTTGGCAGTACTCATTTTCAACTATTTACACGTGATTATCTTAGTCTCAGAATTTATGGTTCTAAAATAGTACTCCATAGAGCTCAATTTTAAAATAATACGTAGTTATTTTAACATTTTTGTAAACTCTAAAACACTTTACTTCATATTGATATCTAAATATATAGAAATAAATGGTATGTACTAAACCTTAAATAAAAGTAAATTATAATCACAAGGAAAAAAAAAAAGAGCTCAATAATAAAAGGCTCCAAATAAATAGAACACAAGTTGCTCAAAATAAAATAGAAAATTTTAATTTAAAAAATAAAAACATAAAATTATCTAATATTATAATTTATAGTTTTATTAAAATTAATTATAACCAAAATTTAATCACGACCCAAATATTCCCCCTCCAGTAACCCTCAACCAGCCACCTATAAATACCGCTTCCTTTAACCCATTCTAAAACCTCATCCTCCCGTTCCATCTCTGCCACCCGCGAAAACCCTAGCTTCCAAGCCACTCCTCTGCAGATGTCGAACCAGATCTACTATAGCTCTACATACACCAGCGGTGGATTAGGAGGCTACACGCTCCGCGCCGCAGATCCCTACCTTCCAACTGCGGTGGGTTCCTCTAGATTCTCGACTGATGCACTCACCGTTACTGACGCCGGCGAGCGGACTGCTTCTTTGTCTTCTAGCCAGGCCAACGGTTTTAAGCTTCCGAACGTGGAAATCCGCGGTGTAGGCGGAGCTGGAAGCTTATCGATCGGGAAGATTGGCGGGGGACAGACGTCGGTGACTTGGCTTGGGGTTGATGGGGCCGGTAAAGCGGGATCGAAGAGGTCCGCTGAAGGTGAGAGAGTTTAGATTTTGTTTCTTCACATATTTTTTTTTGGTTTATCGTTTGATTCTACTTGATATCTGTAGGGTTGGCAGCCGGTTCTATGGATGGTACGGGGAAATGTATTGTTAGTTGAGTATTGATATTTCATTTTGCATTTCAGTATATCAGTTAGTAAACTGGGGTTGATTACAGCTATTTAAAAGTTTCTGTTGTCATTTAGGTTTGGTGGTTTGAACTGTTTTTATTGCCTTATTGGAAAAAAATGTTATAGGAAATAATTTAATGATCTCTTACTTTCTTGGACAAGAACATCAAAGAGTAGACGCCACATCAATTGGTAGTGAGGTATAATGTTACTGGAATGAAATGCAATGGTTCGGCAAATGAAGCATTATAGAAGTTATGCAGGATATTTATGCAGGGGGAGAAGCTCTTGGAAGGATTAATGAGAACACAGTGAAAAGGGTTAATAAACTTGCTCCAAAGTAGTTGTGACCAGGCTGAAGATGCCCATGACAATGATCATATTTATCCATTGAGCATTGCATTTTAGATTGCTGTGTGAAAAGTTGGAGGGTGATGTTTTAGTTCAGCAGAAGCATCTTATCCGTGTTAAATAAGAAATCTCCAGTCTCATGCTTGTTAGGCATTTCGTATCACGGTGATGTTTATGCCAAGTTATATTGCTAGGATCATTTCACCTTGGTATTATCGGTGCTGTTAGATTGATTGATCCCTGAAGGATTCCTGTACTTGTTGTGCAGAATGATTGCTTAAGTAGACATTTTCTAAATGAACAGAGCAGTCATTCTTACTTATTTTATTTATATAATCGAGGATTAAACTTGTTCGCATATTTTAATAATTTGTGTCCGCTTTTGATATAATCTAGGTCGCTAATAACACCAAGGGCTGGTATACGATTCTATGGAAGTTACAGGGAAAAATCTTCTTAATCCAGTGGTAGATTTTAGTTTGGTATTTCATTTTCTGGATATCAGATAATAAGCTGGGGTAGATACTGTTATTTCAGAATTTCTGTTGTCATGTTCGTTGGGTGTTTGTTATCTTTTTTATGTTTCATTGAGGACAGTCTTATAAAAATAATCTAATGATTTTGGTTTTTTGGACAAGAACATCAAAGAGTAGAAACTGCATCAATTTGTACTGAAGTAGAATGCAAATGGAATGACATGAAATTTTTTCGGAAAGGAAGCATACCAAAAGTCATGTAGGGCATTTATACAGATTGAAAAGCTCTTGGAAGGATTAGTGAGAACAATGTGAAAAGGGTTAATAAAGTTATTCCGAAGTTGTTGGGATAAGGTGCTGATGATATTGATTACGATTATCCCATGAGCATTACATTTTAGATTGATGTGCAAGGATGTGAAGGCTTAGGTCATGCAAAATATATTACTTTTATTGAATAAGAATTCTCCAGTGTCATGCTTACTAGGCATTTGTATCATACGAGGGGAGTATGCCAAGTTATATTTCTAGAACCATGCTACCTTTGTATTATTGGTGCTGTCAGATTGATTATTTTTATAAGGATCCATGTACTGGTTGGTGCAGATTTATTTCTTATGCAGGCATTTTCTAAATGAATAGAGCTGCATTCTTAGTCTTTCATTCATGAAATCGAGGATGAAACTTTTTTGCCTAATTTCATACGATTTAGCGTCCACTTCAGATTTTTTTGTCATCATCGCCTAGTAAGCTTTCCTTCAAGCCTTTTCCTCACATTTCCTGTTAAGTTCTAAACTAAATTGAAGCTAAAAAATGTTAAACATAGAATGCATTATTCTTAAATTTTTATGTTACCCTCTATATAGTAGTTAATATTTTTTAACCCAAAAAACATGCCAAAAACATGCATGTGCTTCATTTTTATGAATTGTTTGATTTAATTTGACTTACAAAAAACATGCATGTGCTAATCTCGCATCTCATTTTTATGAATTGTTTGATTTAATTTGACTTACCCAACAATATAAATAACAATTAATTATTTATTATTGTTATGATGTTTATTTATGAGTCAGATTAGTTATTTGAATATTTAAACCATGAAATTTTTGCTTTCATGATTCAAAATCTAAGATACAAGGCACTTTGTGCTGCTTCTATCTTTTGCATGCTAATTAGTACTGTATTCTAAATAAATCAATCTTGCCATTGCTTATTTCATCACAGTAGTTTCAGAGTAGAAGTTTGGTATGTATTGGTGTGTTTGCATGCTGTGTGAAACATGTGCTCTACTGGGTAGATAATAGGTAGAATTCTGTTAGTGTTTCATCTCTTTATGCTTCTTATATTTAATTTAAATTGAACCTTGCCTTCTTTTCTTATTTTGAAATGTTTGCTAATCAAGTACTTTTTCTACATCTCCTTTCTCATGCCCCATTTTCTGTATGATTTATGGAACTTCGTAAGGCTTATTTGATATTCAACGGATGTAGTTGTGAGTTGGATATGGCATATAGTTTCAGTTTTTCCATGGTAGCATCCTTATCATTCTTTATGGTGTTAGCCAAGATTTGCATTTAAATGTGTTTGAGGTGGACGCGGTTCATTATGAATTGGGAAATTTTGAGGCTCATGTAAAAATTCATTAATGGATTATCGATCTAATTTTGCATGCATGCATGAATTAAAATGGCTTAAAAAAATCATAAATATCTAGATACATTACATGTTATGCTCAGATCTAGTTAAATATAACATAAATTATGAATAATAAAATAAAATTTATCTTGTAAGAATATCTAGCTGGTGTATCTATATTCGGAAAGAAAAACATCAAATTAGTATTTTTTAAAAAAAATTAGATTTTACACCATTTACCTAATCAAAACTGCGGCTATTCACTGCTATTGAATTTTTTAAATCAGATATTTACAGAAATACCTTTTTCCTGTTGACACACAGCTTGATAGAATTAAGTGTAGGACTGCTGTTTAAGTCTCCATAAATCGATACTATATGCAGTAATCACAACAGTGCATTACGGATTTGCAGTTTTCATTCTTCATTTTTTGTAATTCTTTGTAGGTTTTATTCTGTACAGTAGAATAGGGGTGGCACCACATATAGCACTCAGCGGAAAATTGCTGTTGTTTGTCTCTTTAGACTTTTGGGTACTCTCACATTCCTAGCTACGAAGTTAGACTTTGTGTTGGTAAGGTTTCTTCTTGTGTAAATAAACTCGTTTGCATGGCAAGGGCGAGATAGCTACGTCTAAACTTGAAAATCCAATATGGGCATTACCGTATTTGTTTCTAATTGTCCATGGTCTTATTATTAACTAGCATATTATCTGATATACTATAAGTGTCTGCCTCCTGCTTGCAGCTGTGCAATCTTAAGAAACTTTTTACCATATTCACCGACGATATATGATAATTTTTACTGGCTGGATATCAGCTTTTGTTAAGATAAAAAGCCATTTATTTAACTCAGGTATATTTACTTACAAATTATATGATACCGTGTCAATACAATATTACAGTAATTTTTCAGTAGTCTTATTTGAAATTATAAATTATTACTTGTATTTTTCTGCTATCTTATTATATTTGTTTTCTACTATCTACCTATAGCTCTCTACAATCAGAATATTTTGGCATATAACTCTATTGGCCAAAGTGATGCTTTATTGTCAAAGTACTCTTTGCACAAACGCCCTAGAGTTGTGGGTGCAAGCCACCTGCCTTTATATCCCCAGCGTCCTGGAGAGAAGGATTGTACTTACTATATGATGACGAGAACCTGTAAATTTGGAGATTCTTGCAAGTTTGATCATCCAATTTGGGTTCCTGAAGGGGGAATTCCAGACTGGAAAGAGGTGACTATCACTATTCTTTTTCTATATAGGAGTTCTAAGTATCGTGATTACTATTATAGGACAACTCTCTGAATATATATACCCGTTATTACTTTAAAGAATTATTTCGAATTTTCTTGTTATTTATTCTTTATTATCATCTGGGTACTTATTTGAGGTATAGTTTTTAAGCTATTACACCATTAAATGTCATTCTTTATTGTCCTGAAAACCTTTAATTTGTTATTCTTTATATGATATTTTTATTTATTTTTGAGAAGTGTTGTTTTCATGCATGTTCCTGACTAAGAATAATTGATAAATTTAATTATTCATTAATTGGCTTATTTTGAAATTGTTAATTATGTTTTATATCTTGATGTGTATTACCTGAACAGCTATTGATCAAAATGGAATCAGATAAATTTTATTCATACATCTTGATAATTGTTCAAATAATGGATATTAAGTTAAAATTGCAGGATTGTTGAAACTTTGGACTAGCCTGAAGACATAGCATGCCAACATATTTTATATAAATAAATAAATTTATTTAAAGGGATATTTGGCTGTCATGTGGCATAATTTTAAATATGATTTCAAGTATGTTTGCCTAGAACAATATACAATTTTGAATTTGATTTCAAATGCATTTAAAAGCTAACAATCAAGTTATGCAAATTATCACTTCTACAATTATGTAAATTTAATTGCAAAATAACTATGTACTTGATGATTAATTAAAATAAAACACATGGAACAAGAAAAGTGGCTTTAAAGGCTGTTTTGTTCCTCCCATTAATTTATATTTATATACAGATCTAGAAAATAACTGAAAACTACTAATTATAAAAAAAAATTAAAAATTAAAATTGCTGTCCAAACTTTTCTATTTTGGTAGTTGGCAGGGACCAATTCTTGACCCTTCACTTTTCATGCTAGATGCATGAATTGTAGTTGGACTTCTCGTCATGCTAAGAACATAAATGTGGCTCATTTTATTTTTTATTTATCTTTGTAATACTTTGAACACTATCCCTCAGGCGGAATAGCAGAGATCTACTGTTCTAAGTTTGCTTAAGATATTTTTGAATGTAAGGTTTTGAAAATTTTTTATAAATATGTTTTCATTTTTTGTTGGAATATTTAGACTGTAGGTTAACTCACTTTCTCATTCCCACATTATGAAATGTTTGTATACCTCCACATATTTGATTTGATTATGTTGTATTAGATTTTTAGCAATGTTGATGGTTGAATGGGTCATAATATGTTCTCATAGGTTTCATTTGATTTTTAATTTTTTTAGTATGTTTAATATATAGAAGTTCACAGATATATTGAGAGATTGTTTTGAATTCAGATTCTACACTTGACCTTGTGACAATTTGCTTTTGCTTCTTCATGCTGCCATATTTTCTCCTAGTAGTTTGTGATATTTTGCGGTGAAATTTTTATTCACTAGTGATCTCGTATAGTCAACATCATTATTTTAATCTTTAATTTGTATGGTATTATGCTTTGCATAGAAAATCCTTTTCCATGTTTTGATTTTAGATACCCAAGCATCTTGCATTCACAGCTTAATGGTGAGATTTATTTTATTTACATAAATTGATTTATGAGACTTACGCACAGCTTAAGGGTGAGATTTAGGGTCTGTTTGACGCAGCTGCAGATTGTCAGCTTTCATCAAAAGTGATGTTAGGATGAGAGTGGGATAAATAAAATAACTTTTAAATAGTCTTCGATATTGTCAAATCCCTAAATGATTGTTGTTTCATTATCATCCCTGTTTAATCTTTTATTTGATTCAGTTAGAGTTTTACATGGCTTGCAATCAATCTTTTTGTTTCTTTGAAAAAATCCATTGCATATTTTTGTTGAGACAAACATTTGTTTTCTAGCTAAGCCACTTCTATTCTCAGGAAGTATTTTAGGTTATTCAGTTTTGAAATTTCAAACTTTACTAGGAGTTTTTTTTTCTAGGAATTTCTATGTTATTATCACGTGCTTTTTTATTGTCATCACCTATAATAATATTTTCATTGATATGCATAATTATAATTAAAATTCCTCGGTTAGCGGAATACTTTATAAAGCATTTGTAATCTACATAGATTTGTTTTATCTCATTTCATTTATGTTTTTTTGTAAATTAGCCAAATCTCGCCCTTCCGAATTGTTTAAGGTCATGTATCAATTTTTTTAATATGCATACCTTATTTTCTGTGATAGAGCTGTTGAATCATGTCGAGAAGTGTCCATATAAATTTGTTTTTTGGCATTCTTGTGTAAAAGTACATTTGCAAGTCATATTGTTGCATAGACAACCCGAGTTTAGCAGACACAGATTAGGATGCCTTTTATATTCATTTTAGCAAAAAAAAGTTTTCTTTTTAGCGGTATATTTTATGGGATTCCATGTAATGTTTTTTACTGCTAATCTAGCTCTACCATATTGCTCCATTTACAATTTGCTTTTTATTTTAATGAAAACATTCGCTTGCATCCATTTGTTTTCTTTCTCCTTTTTTTGTAGTTCAATGTTCTCCCAAATGAGATTTCTATTTAGGACATTCTTTTTTTCCCTCATGATATCTTTCTAATTCTTCTTCCCTAATATCTTAAATAGGGTTTGTGGCATTTTAATAGTGTTGGAGCTGATATTTGTAAGGGAAGTTTTATGCGTGGGAGAACATTTTTGGGAGGATGTGTATTGGGTTAATGGGGTATAGAGAACAATGTTTGCAATGTTGAACTTTATTGGAGTCTTTAAATGGGTTTTCATTTTTATATAGGCTTGAAGTGGTTTAGTGATTAGAGTAATGTGTTATTTTTATATCTGTTTATTTAGGTTGTCAAGGTAGAAGATATTAATTTCATCGAACTTTTCTTTCATTTGGTTGTTCTCTCTTTTACAAGAGAAAATTTTGATTTTCATCAATATTGACATATTTTGAAGTGAAGAATTATTTGATGTCGATGAATAAAGCACATTTAAGTATGTCGCTAGAATCAAGTTTATGTCGGTGTTATTTGTGGATGTGAATATGTGGCGACAAAATAAGTTCTGGAGAAAATTTTAGAAACAATTATTTATGGAAAAAATTCAGCTTATGACCAATGAGTGTATTTTATTAGTGAGATATGTAGAGGTTATGATTGCTTATACCCAATAACTTTTGGGAATTTGGGAGTTCTGAGAACTTTTAGAGGGTGTTTTGTTTTCCTTTTTGCCAACCTTTTTTTTTGTTGTGGGGTGTGTAAGGATAGAAGGATTGTGTACAATTACCTTTTTCATTTAAGAAAGAATAAATAGTTTTATTAAAATAATCTTATGCAGTTTTAGTTTTAGTCTATATAAATTTTGTATCAAGTTGTTTTCATTCCATTGAGTTAAAAGTTGGAGGTATATGTGTGATATTAATTCGTTGTCTGATAAGATAAATGTATGTCTTTTGAGTGCGATTGTCAATTAAAATAGTAATTTTTTTTGCTTCAAAATTATAAATAGTTTTTCAAGGTCCCAAAATTTCGAAGTGAATTATCATGCAATGTGTAGAGAATTTGCTTTCACTTTGAGGAAAGAGAACTCGATTATTTTAAACAGTTTTGCAAATCTTATAGTGAATGTTTTTAATGTTCATATATATGAAAAGAGAAAGAAACATATAGTGTAGGACTTTAAAGGATGAATATCCTAGTCTCTAATGATAGATGCTTATGGCATCTTTGTTTAGAGTAGATATGCATGCGTAGGTTAAGTGGCTTTGGACTTCAACTAGGTGTATAACCTATTATTTTCTCTAGCCCGTGCAATGATCTTCCCCATAGTGTGGTATTGAAATAAACAATCATTATTAAAAAGAAACGTAACCATGCATTTGTGGTCCTTGATATGTTTATGAATAGGCAAAAGATTTATTGCTAGGTTAGGAACATTTAGGATATTATTCAGTGTAAATTTATGATTAATTGGAATATTATCTTAGCTTGTAACAATTGCTAGGGAGCGATTAACTACCATTTTTCTCTTGTTGGGATTTTTTTGTCAGTTTGGAAAATATTAGCAAGGTTTATCATGTGATCGATGATTCTTGAATCAACTTTTCAGGTGTTTGAGGTACTGTTTGGGGCATTAAAAGTAAAAGTGTTGTAATAATTTGAGTTTGATTTTATGATCTTGATGGTTTTCGGGAGAATCAAGGAAGTTCACTCTCTTGCCAATTTTTATTTTTTTCATTATTGACCTGCAAGTTGCATTGGGGGAAATGATTTCACCCTTTATTTTTAAAAAGATTTAGCGGAAAGAATTTTGTTACCCCGGGTTTTGTGGTTGAGCTGTTACGACCGATGTTTCAGAGCTGGGTGTGTCGAGTTATCTTTTTTTGTCTTTTTGTTTAAGAATATTGCATTTAACGATGATAGGTTCTCTCTACTTAAAATTTGAATACAAGCATAGCCAAAATCGTTATCGAGTCTCACGAGAAATTGAAACAATGTATTCCTTTCTACAAATTGCTTGAGAATCACAATATTATCATGACACATCATTTTGAGATCCTGGCAGTAATTTAGTTATAGCCAATATTACCATTATTGTATGAAATATTCAATGACAAAGATGTTATTTTACTTCGTTCATGGGTGCTTCATCTTGATGTCATAGACAAATGCACATCTTTAATTTTTGAGCAAGTTCTAATTCAATTTCCCAAATTTCTTTTGCTAACTTAGGAACATATATGATCCACTAATTTCAGGTGTCATTTTGCCCCATAACATTAACATGATCTAGGCATTTGCTTTGTCTTAAAAGTATTGGATTTTCTAAGACCACAAGAAGGATCTACGAGATAATAGATTTTTTTTTTTCAGAATTGTATTTACAATATAGGACCACTTCAGATAGTTTCTTTCATCCAATCAATATGAGATTTATGGCCGCTGTAATTTTCTTTAGTCTGCTTTTCATCATTCATGATGTTCGACTCTTTTAAAGGAAACTCAAATAAATTAGACGTGATGCGAAGATGGAAAAAAAAAAGCAACAATGAATGTTAGTAAGAGGATCCTAACCTTGCTTTAATTATTCCATATAAAAAAAGTGTCTAGAAAGATTGTTTTATTAATTTTTAACTTGGTTATTTATACATTAAACTATTTAGAAAATAATGAAAAACTACTAATAACAATGAATTTATAAATTAAAATTGTCGTCCAAACTTTCCATTTTAAGCACATAAACCTATGGCACTTTTCTTTCTATATTAAGCATTTAATTCCATATAAAAAAAGAAGTGGCTAGAAAGATTATTTTATTCATTTTTAAATTGGTTATTTACACAGTAAACTATTTTGAAAATAATAAAAAACTACTAATTACAAAGATAAAAATTAAAATAGTCGTCCAAACTTTCCATTTTAAGCACATAGACCTATGGCACTTTTCTTTCTATATCAAGCATATGAATCTGCTGCTGATTTCATTTCTTTTTAGCAATCCTAATATTTTCAATATTATGCTTGCCATTATTTTTAAAATTAATAGAAATTTGAAACTATGCAACTATTTTATTTCTATTAAATCATGCATGTCAACTATTTTCTTTAATGGCTATATATATTTAATGATATTAATTTTAATTTTACATAAAATTTATTTATATTTAATTAATATATTTGTTTAATCTTTAATAATTAATTCCAATAATGGCCTTAGAAACAAATATTATGTTTATTATATTTTTGTTATTTTAGTCCTCTGCAATGTGGGGTTATTGATTGGTCTGTAAAATAATGCATGCATTAAATAGAAATCATTTTAGTTCATATGTAAACATCAAGCTTCTTTGGGAAAAGCCATGTTGGGACGAGTGCTCGACCTATTCATTTTGGATGAATTATGAGTTTAAACTTTTCCAATGCGTGAATAGTTGACTCGACTATAGGCTGGGTCAGTTAGGATTATTAAGCTGATTTAATAGGCTAATTTGACTCAACCAAGTTACCCGGCCGCTATGCTGACCACTCTATCATTGAATTGAACATGTCCAGAAGTTCCATCGCTTAAGACTCAAAAGTAGTTTGCCCTTTAGGCTATAGTTAGTCGAAGTAAACAAGCATCTCCAGTCAGTGAGATTGGATATGTTATTGTTTTAGCCTTGATATTACAGTAAATATACTTCAAATAATGTAGGCTAATAGAGATAGTTTATACAATAACTTGTTTGTGGTTGAATGGAGATGGCTGATACAGTGGTTTAGAAACCACTGAACCGGAAGGTACGTGGTTAGCATATTCGTGGTGTTATATGTATTATGCATAAAAGAAGGTGTTGAGACATAAAATGAAGCTTGCTTTTGATACTATTAAATGAAGTTTGATTGTGCGATTTTTGGAACCATAAAACTGCCCCATATTTTTTATTTGAGCAATAGTTTCACCGTTGGCCTGAGTTGTGTATGGTATGATCTTCCTTTCAAGCTTTCCCCAAACATACACATCTGCTTTCAAGATCATACCATACAAAAGTTTGATTATTTATCTTTAGAATCCTTTTTTTTAATAAATAGAGGTCCAATGTGCCATGCTGAAGTAGTTTTATTGATTGACAAATAAAATTTGATTACTTGCCAAGACCGTTGATATCTTCATCATTAGTCCAAGTTGTGTATGGTGTGATCTTTCTTTCAGGCTTTCCACAACTGCTATCTTTCTACATCAATTTTTCTCAATTTGCTCGCTGCATGTTCATCTTGCTGTTGCTCATCATATGCCAACATGTGCATGGCATTATCAGTCAATAGTTCACTGAATATATATACAAACACCTGAATTTAGCTAATGCCGAAAAATGCTTTTGTTCAATTAAGCTTATGACGGGTTTATGCAGTCATTTATATTCTATTTCAATCGAGCTCCTACTAAGCCAAAAATAATCTAGCAGGCTCTTGTCCATGTTCAATTTGGTAAGCAAACAACCTAAATAATTTTGTTCAAGCTTGGATTTTTTACGTAATTAACTAGCCTAACATGAATAGTTATTGAGCTGAACTAGTATTGCAAGCAAATAAGCTTCTGGGATAACCAGTGGATGCAGGGGTTTAGTGTCGTGCATCAGAGCTGTGCTGTGTGCCTGTTTGCTTTTTTGTTTGTATGGATGCATATTTTTGTATTTCCATTTGCGTGCATCTCTACATTTGTGTATATGTGGTTGACTGTGTACTTACAACAACAATAACAACAACAAGCTTTTATCTCACTAAGTGGGGTCAGCTAGGAGCCGTTTTTCTCCATTAGTATTAGTTGAATGTGTGTATATGTTGAAATAAAGAAAAAATGTGTTTAAAATTTAAAATCTATTGAAAATTTACTTGTTAAGGCTCAAGTAGAGCTCTGATTAAACTTGACAGGTTCGAATTGACTTTGCTTATCTCTAGATTGGATATTCTTGAACCAAGGTTCGATTTGCTTAAGATTGGGTTAATAGAAACCTATGTTTTTATAAGCTTTTCCTCTTTGTTTTTTATATGAAACTTAGTTTTGGCGACAGCACTGGATTTTCTAGGATTTTGATTATGTTGGTAGAAAGGTTCAAATGAAGGGAAATGAGTGAAGATATTTCCTGAGTCTTGAACTAATGATTTGTGTGTAAATTGATCAATTTCTGGAAACTGAATAAATTTCCATTGATTTGAGTTTCTTCTGAGGATCATCTCTTTTTACACAATTAAGCCGTACTTTTATGACCTTTTTTATCTTCCAATGCCTCTGAAAAGTGTCATTATAGCTCTACTAACAGTAGACGAGAACACATTGATTTTTGATACGTTGATACGTTGTTGATACATGTTTTATTTTTGCAGGTTCCACTTATTCCTGC